ATCCCTCATATTCGAAATTTAAGCCATGTTTGTGTCTGTGCTTAAAATGCTTTTTGAGCAACAGGTAGGAAACTAGAAAATAAATATTAGGCCATAACCTACAATACAACCACACAATTTAAATCTTATCAATTATTTATTTTTTGGGATTATCTATTTCAAATCTTCAGATTGTGATTGACCATAGAGGTTACTGAAACTGGAAAATGAGAAGTGCCAAATAGGGGCTCCTATACAGAATTTTAACAGGAAAAAAAAAGGCTTTGGTCGTGGAAAGCCTACCTTCCACCAGCTTCTGGAGTGTTCTTCTGAAGCCTCACATGCCCTACACTAACAGTGTTCATCAAAGTTGGGAATGGGATGTCCATAGAGTACACCAAGAAGCCTTGACTCTGTCAAGACGTTCACACACATATGTAGGACTACCTATCGTGGCCAAGAAAAACCCAGGAAGTTCCTAAACCTTCACCATGGGCTGACTTCTCATTATTTTTCAACCAAATATCCTCTAACTATTATTCATAGTTCTGAGTGTTAGGTATTTATCCCCAGAGTCAAAAAAAAGATCTAAGCGCAAGGACCGCAAATGGAAAACTAGGGGACACAAATCAAATGTGTACTGGTCATTTTCCCACTTTTCATTTATGTATAAAAATGACGGAATATTAAACATTAATGCAAAAATAAATGCGCCACAGTGAACAGTTTTGGTGGTTTAACTTTGTAACAGTTATGAATTGTGGGAGCTTGCCCTGGATCTCTGCCTGCTTGGCCTATGTGGGAGGTCATAGGCACACAGCACACTGGCACACTGTGTCCCGGGGAAGCCCCTGACAATGGTTTTGGCTAACTGAACCACAATCTGGCCTGTTCACTGGGCATGCAGTGAGAATAGCGAAATGCACCCCGGTCTCTCTTCTCTGTCCTTGGAAGTGTGCTGGGACTTCCTTGATAAGCAACTCAAACACCACTCCAGCCTACTTGCCAGCCACACATGGAGAATGTGACCTGAGGCACAGCTTTCAGTCATGCAAAACATGACTTGTGACCAGGTTTGAGGGTCCAGATAGAAAGACAGAAAACCATGCCCTCTAGCCAGTGAGTGTCACTGTTGGTTGGGAGGACTGTCACGGACTGCCCTTCTGCCTTCTCCTTTCCTAGTATATATAAGTTGTGCTTTCTTTACACTAAAGGGACATGTTCCATCAGACTGTCCCCCTCACTTCCTTGGTAGTCTTGGGGGCCTGCTGGCAGAAAAGAACTCCAAGAACGAATAAAGAAAGTGTTGTATATAATAACAGAATTTGGATATTTCACACAGGTACAGTTATATTTCAGGGCAATAAATGAATAAAGCACCCAGCTATCAGACAGCATGGATAGTCCTTGAGAACATTGGGGTAAATAAAAGTCCAAATGAGAGAATGCATTTTTGATTATTTTGAATACAAGACTTTGCTGAAACAATCTACAGAATTCAAAGGTAGAAAGGTAAGGGTGGGAATTACGGCACAGTTAGAGGGAAAAGAAATTCCAAATTTGGGAAATAAAAGGAACAAACAGAAGAATTGGGAAGTGGATGCTGCAGATTGGAATTGAGGTGGAGATTTAGCAACAGGGATGGTGAAATGAATATGATATGGCCAGCAGAGAGCGTGGAGAGGGACAGATGGGGGATTTTGCTGTAACCTGGAGGCAGAGAGCAAGCCCTTGCTTCTAGAGAACGGAGTATACAATGAGAGCAGTGCTTTAGGAAAAGGAAACGTTTCTGTTTAGTTGCTGGGGAGGAACAAGAGAACTCCAAGGGAGTTAGAAGAGTAACTTCTCATCGAATGGGACTCAAGTTATGTCTGTCAAATTAAAGAAGAAAAGTATGGGGCAGTTTCAAGTAACTTGTCCCCTTCTAGATACTTTTTAAAACCTAAACTACTCCCATCACTTAAAAGAAGCCCCTGCTTTTTTTTCTAACCAAAATTGCCACTCCTTCAAGACCCTGCTTTGATGCTGTTATTTCTAAGTTAATATTCATTTCAGGCCCTGGACCACCCATTCTATCACCTTATTCTTTATTCCAGTAATTTAAAAATAATACATACTTAAGCTTAAAAATCTATGATATAACTTAAATCCTAAGTAGCATTCCTCTCTCTCTTGCCTCTCCGGATTTTAGTACGTTTGTCTGAGGGACAAAAAGCCAACAGATTATTGTTTTCATAGCTATTTTGTGCTCTGACTCCAGGGCTCTAGGTTTGCTTCAAAAAAACCAAATGACAACATAAACTGAGATTATTCTCGTTCACCAACATCAACAGCTCTCTCAAGTTTCTTACTTTTATTTAAAATTCCTGGGGTATTTCTTTTATAATATTTCTCATAACACTTTTTAAAATGTTTAATGTTCACTTTTTAAATGCATGATGTCTTATATATGGAAGTGGAAAGGTATGTGGGCTAGTTACTTGCTTTTATCAGCCTGAACAAATGCTTCATCTAGTTGAAGACACTGCACATCATGTTATATATTTTAAATGATTATTTACTTGAAAGTCAAAGTTTGAGAGGAAAAGAGAGAGAGACTGAATGAACGCTTCTGTGTTGTCTCATTTCGTGAACTGCAGTAACGGCTAGGACTGGGCCAGGCCAAAAGCAGAGGCCAGGAACTTCTCGGCTTTACTGTCTCAGCTTTTCAGTCTTGACAAGTCTGATTCATATTTTCCTAGTAGGAAGAAAAGATTTGATTGTACCTAGTAGAAAGAAAAGATAAAAGTAGGCTTATTGCATTTTTCCAGAATATTAAATTTCACAATGAATGTTAATTTTCTCTCAACTTCATGTTCAATGTTTCCACAGAACTAGAAATAGTTGAGTGTCTATACTCAATAGGAAGTAAATCATGAATATTGAACTTTGGTTAGTGCTTCCAGTCCTTTTACAATCTAGGATGATCATACTGTAAAATGTAATTCTGCAGAAAGGGTTTGGACACCAAGTGCCAGCAGTTCAATTCATCTTCGTTTTTTCCTTTTTTTTTTGCATCATCTTTTCCTTTGGGAAAGACAAACCACTGCACTTGTATCTTTTATTCCAGGTAGCCTTAATTGAGGCCAGCTAGGTTCTTGCCTTTAGTGAAAGCAAAATATTTTGAAGGAATTAGATCATAAACTTATTCCTAAATGCAACAGTGGTAATTTCATTTCTTGAATGTGAGCCAAATGCTGCAATTAACAGATTACCGTCCACCTCATGGTTCGGAACTTCTATTCTAATAAGAAATGTAAAGGTGAATACAGAGACGAAGCTATGGAATTTTTTAGTTATCAAATTCTTCCCATTGTCAATTTGTATGAATTGCCGTGTTGGGAAAGAACAGCAGGGTACAGAGTAGTTTACAGGTCTATTTTCTGTCTGTTGCCTTTGAACCTGTGTAGATTATATAGCTAGACACCTTTGCCAAATTGCTTCCATTTACACTGGGAATATGAGGGAAATCAGAATACAGGAGCAAGTGCGAAGCTAACATACTTTCCCCCTTCTGCCTTAGTATTGGATAGATCTTTGGAAACAACCGTGACTTCCCAGAAACTAATGCTTTTAGTAGTTGCTTATCCCTTTGTATGTTAAATTTCCCATTTGGTACCAACAGCCAACTTTCCATTTGTTTCTATCTCCGTGAGTAGGGGTCATGCCCTACATCAGTCACATGGTCTCTATGATATTACTGTTTCCTTATTATCTTAAATATTCATAAAATCAAATACATAGTGATACAGGTAGAATCTGAATGTGTGACACAAACAATAAGCTCTACCCACTTACCAGGATGTAGCACCCATATCAAGCCGTGTTGAAACTGCCAGCTTTCCAGAATGAGATGTGAACTGGAGAGAAGCTTCAGTTTCTAAAGCCTGTAGACAATGCAAGGTAAATCATATATCTTTCTTTGTTTAAATAGCTCATTGTAAATTATATTTTATATGATGATACAGTGAGAAATCTAAAAACACACAATAAGTGAAGACAGAGTTCTAAAACTTTGAGTTTATAGTGCTTGCCTCCTTGCATTACGCAGAAAGAAATGATTCTCCAAGCACTGCTCCTCTTCCATTTTGACTAACCACAGTGGAAAGTGAGTTCCAGAAAATATTCCATAAACAGTTTTCCCTTTTCTCTGTCCTACACTTTTGTGAAATTTTATAATGTCATACATGTCATTGTTTCAAAAATATTTATTTATTTATTTATTTATTTATTTATTTATTTATTTATTTATTTATGTATTTGAAAGACAAAGTTACAGAGAGACAAGGGGAGACCAATCAAGGAAGATCCTCCATCTGCTGGTTCACTCCCTGAATGACTGCAATGACAAGGGCTGGGTCAGGCCAAAGTATGGAACCATTGTGAGCTTCATCAGGGTCTCCCACATGGGTGTCGAGGCACAGGTACTTGGACCATCTTCTGCTGCCTTCCCAGATGCATTAGCAGGAAGCTGGATCTCGGTGGAGCATACAGGACATGAACCAGGCCCGAGTAGATGCTACTGTCATTGGAGGTGGCTTTACGTGCTGTGCCACAGTAATAGTCCCATGTATTTCTTTCTATGTAGATGGCAAGGTGAAACGGCGTTGCCTTTGACAACAAAGCTCGTTTCCGTATGCACGACCCACAAAAAGTTGCTTTTCATAAAGACTGACCTTTGAGCTTGTCATAAATCTTATTCCCAGTTAATTGGCTAGAGGTATTTTCTCAGCTGCTTTTGGAGAGATTTTCAATTTGTCAACTAAAATGAAATGTTAGTGCATTCTGAAATATTTTACTCTTGCATGTTAAGCATTTACTAATCAATTTCAGGGCTATCTGTACTTATCTTCATTTGAATTATGTTTAAATTTGTCAACATTACTTCTGAACAATTCACTCTACAATGTGGGATAAAAGAAAAACCGGAGCTATTAGAAAAACAGAATATTTGAGGAAAAAAGTCAATAGAAGTAAAGACATTCTAATAGGATTTTTCTTTTTTTTTTAATAAATACATAAAGCTCTCTACCATTTCCCTCAATTATTTTGATTAACATGATAATAGGATCTTTCAGGCCATCATCTTACCAATTCCATAGCCTTTTGTAAAAGATTCATTTTATGAAATAATCATACTAGCATTAATAGATGAATGTTGGTGCCATATCACAATATAAGAAATATTTACACCATCTCTACATACACAAATACCATACACATACACACAGATCACAATCCAGAACGAAGAGTATTCAGTCTCCTAGACAACTAACATTGCTAGGCTTTGTCTGAAACGTTTATTTTTGCTTTATTTACTGTAATTTTTTTCTTTCCAAGCAACAGACTTTCCTATTTCTTGTGATTTATTTTTAACATTGTGCTCATGCAGAAATAATACTTGTTTGATTGCATTAACATTTAAACAGTTTTGGACTTGAGTCCTAAAACCATCATCTAAAATTTTACTTGATGTTGCTTCATCCATATTGTCATTTTCATTGATGTGATATGATGATTTGATTTTGGTGAGTTACAAAATGAGAGACATGTCAAGTTCACCACAGTTCAAAAATCAAGAGTCTATGCTTCTTGCTCATGCACATTTTACCTTCATTCTTGGAAAGACTGTTTGAATTGTATACACCATTTTGAGTCAGCATTTACTGGTTTCATTTTTTAAATCATGTTTCTAAAAACAGCAACAACAAAAGGAATGGAAGAAAATACTGTCCCACATCCACTTTTCACAAAAAAAGGAAGAGCAGCAAGGATCACACTGACCATACTTGGGATATCAGCCAGGTGGTGATAGAAGAGTAAACACTGAGTCTCATCTTTATACCGCAGGAATGTGATCATTACTATAAACCGTACTTCTGCAAGAGTTCAGATTGCCATTGGCGTTTGCGCTCTGGAAAATAATCGGGGATGTGGATTTTTTTAAAATCCTGAATGCACTTTTTCATCTCTTCTTCCACAGTTAGCTTCTCACAGACTTTCTTTTTGGAAAGATTGGTTTCTCGGGACTTGCTGATGAGCGTCTGAAAGAGTTCACTGTTTCTGCGTTTGTCTGGCGGGGGCATCCATTGCACAGGTGCCTTTTTGGAGGGGCGATCCAATGTTAACGTGTTAGGTTGGTGGGCTGCTGCCTGCTGGGCATTGGGTGGGTTGTCCTGGGGAGTGCTGGCCTCTGAGTGGCTGTCACAGCTGGAAGTGGAAAGCTCATTGCAGGAAGTTCCACTTTCACTTCCTTTATCTGTGACTTTGTCATTTTTCCTGTCTTCACGTTCTTGTTTAGGTGACACTATTTTCTGAGGGGGGCCTAGAAAGGAAAAAAAAAAATAGAATATAAGAAATTAGAGCAAAAGAATGAAAAGAACCTTTATTTCTGTTTTCTATTTTAAGCCAATAACCTTTATCCCAAGAAAAATGCGACTTGTTGCATTAGCCTGTATTTGAGGGATTCAAAAACACACGGGGCCTTTAGTGTACCCTGAAATAGGCAGCATGTTGATTATCGATAGCCAAAATTGGAGAGATCTGCTTAACAGTATTTCTGCTGCAATAGACTTATCAATAGCTTCATGCTGAAAAGGTTTTTGTTAATTTGTTACTGAAACCTGTGAAAGACACCATGTGTAAATAATTTTTCTAGGCTTATGTCTGCTTCATTAGATACTTGATCCATTTTGTTCTAACCACTATTCTGGGGTTCTATGCCGATCCAAAGCCAGGAGCCTCTTCTGGGTCTCCCACGCGGGTGCAGGGTCCCAAAGCCTTTGGGCCATCCTCGACTGTTTTCCCGGGCCACAGGCAGGGAGCTGGAAGGGAAGTGGGGCTGCCGGGATTAGAACCGGCGCCCATATGGGATCCCGGGCGTGCAAGGCGAGGACCTTAACCACTTGCGCCACCGCGCTGGGCCGGAGGGAGCATATTTTAGTCCCTTTGACTCTGTTGCAAAATTAGGACCTTCCTTCAGCATTTTTCTGAACACTACCACACACCCAGAACTACAATAAAACTTTGATCAAATGGAGCCTGACCAATCAGAATCCTTGGGGACTTATATCTCATTTTTATTTCTGTAGTCCAGTTTTATGAGAAGATGTATAAATAATAACTGGGGCAGAGGTACCAGGATCCTTTAAACAACTGCCCTCAGGGTTCTACTAGAGAACAATCCATCTGATTCATAGGGTCTCAACCATTTCAACATGGAAAGCTTGATTACTGGCATCAGTCCAAACATCCTGATTTAATGCATCGTAGCCTGATTTAATGCCTACTGTGCCATAAAGCAGATCCAGACAATTGTGCTATGCAGCCAAGGTTATAAGCCATTGCTCAGTATAATATTCAAGTACTCAAAATTTCACAACAACAAAAAAAACAATAGATCACTTTATTTTAGTCCCCAAATTAGAATTCTATGTATAACTTTTTCCAAAGTATGCAATTTTGCTGAACTTCTTTTCCTAATATAGTAAAAATAGTTCAAATGTCTCAGACAAATCAACAAAAGTAATTTTCGTAAAGGCACCTACTATGTGCAACACACTAGTCATAGCTCTCACCAGTTTCTTCTATTAAAACACAAAAGAAACAAATTCTATCAAATATTAGTTGAATGGAATTGAACATTTTTTAAAGTTTTGTGTTGACAACTGGCCTAATGGTTAAAATGACACTTGAGATGTGCGAATCCCATGTCAGAGTGCTTGGGTTTTTGTTCCAGCTCTATGCCCCAATTTCTTACAAACACATCCTGGTGCAGGTGGTTGCTCAATTAATTGAGCCCTGCAACCCAAATCAGAGACTTGTATAACTCTCAGATCCCAGCTTCAGCTGGTTAATTAGTAAACAGAAGGTCTCTCTTATAAAAATCAATTAATGTAATTAATTTTAAAATTTAAGTAAAAAGACTTGACTTTTTAAAAAGTTTTATTTATTTTTATTACAAAGTTAGATGTACAGAGAGGAAGAACTTCTGTCTGATGATTCACTCCCCATGTGAGCAGAACGGCTGGTACTGTGCCAATCTGAAGCCAGGAACCAGGAACTTCTTCCAGGTCTCCCACGCGGGTACAGGGTCCCAAGGCTTTGGACTGTCCTAGACTGCTTTCCCAGGCCACAAGCAGGGAGCTGGATGGGAAGTGGAGCTGCTGGGATTAGAACCAGCGCCCATATGGCATCCCAGGGTGTTCAAGGCGAGGACTTTAACTGCTAGGCTACGCTGCCGGGTCTGACATTTTCTTGCATGATGGAAGTATTTCATATCTTGATTGTGGGTTTGGTTATAGAATTATATATATTCGTGAAAACTGACAGAATTCTACACTTAAGACAAATGAATTTTTTTGTATGAAATATATATTGAAATTAACATGCATGTAGGTATATAAATGGAGGGGGTGGAAGAGCTGAGACATTTATCTAATTATCTTCATGTTATCTTTATCTGATCTCAAGCAAGCTTGAAACTCAACTACCCTCATACAACACAAGGCACAAACACACTTAATATACAATCTTCTGCATTACATTAACAAAAATTACTCTCACAGGAAACTTTTCATTCCTAATCATGACTAAAAGATTAAATTGCAAAGACCAGAGCAAGCCAATTATATCTGAGGATAAATGAGTGATGAGAAAAGTCATTTCCTTCTAAGAGGCAAGGGATACAACCTGAGACAGAGCATCAGGCAGGAAAGAGAGAGTAGAATATGGAAGAGTGGGAAGAAACCAGCAACAGCAGAGCAAATTCTTCATTCTGCTTCTGTTTACATGCAGAGCAGACTTGATGACAGATGGCAGTGAGGATACAGAGTTCACATAAAAGTCCATGCGTTAGCACGACAAATTATATTTAGATATTTTACTCAGCACATTATAGATTGTTGCTTAGCATTAGTAGACACATAAACATTCCTCAATATAACAGAATACAGCATATGTAGGATGGAAATCAATTTCTCTTGCAGTGCAGGTCAAAATGTCCACGTAGACTTCCCCGAAGAAGACATCAATATGCTACCACTGGGAGAAGGCACATAAAGGAAAGTGAACTCTTTTCTGATGAACCTCAAAAGCTTACTGTGTCCTCAAGCAGGTGAGGACCAAGTGTGTGAAGTGCCTAAACATGTATGGTCAAGGATTCTTCTGACAACATGCTAAGACGCACTTCACACTGAATGGTTGCTAACTAAAATCATTAGCAGTTTCCCTCGTTCCCATCCTTTGTTCTTTTGCTTGAGACTAGCCTTATCAAGAATATCCTCTTCTTGTGGACTAGATCAGGGAAAAGCCAGGCTGGGCGGATTATTCCTACTGGTGCAAACAAAATTAAAGTGGGCGAGGTTTGTTTGGGCAGCATCAACTGGAATCTGGGAGTGGGAGAGGCCTGGGAGGGAAATAGTGGGCTCATCCCTCTTGGGTTACCACTTCCACGGGAGGACATAAAACTAAGACAGCAGCTGGGGTGGAATGGGATGTGGGACAGACTGGATTACTGCTACACTTACTGGCAAACCAGGGTAGGGGGTGGGCCTGGTTGGGGTTATTGTGGGTCGCTCCAACCTAGGCTACAGCTCCCGCTGGTTTATGTGAGGGCCAAGTATGTGCTGGGCAGAACCAGACTGGACTGCAACACCCATTGGCTCCAGTGGAAGACGGGAGTGAAAACAGAACCAACCCAGGAATTGCAACCACCAGCTGATTGGAGCGATGGACGGTGCCAGGCCCTGTACTTGTTAGCACATACAAGAAGTTTCTTTGGAGATCTTCCTAATCTAAATGCTGGACTCAGAAGCATAACAAAGAAAAGAGAGAAGACAGAACGGGTCAACCAACCATCTAAGCTATGATGGACTATGTCAATCAGTGGATTTTTCAAAGACCTCATAGTGCTTGGAGCGGCAAGATTGACAGCGATTCATAACTGTTGCAATATCAAAACCACTTGAGCAAGAACCTCAGAGCATGCCCTACACCCGGGACTTGGGGAGGGTGGGAAATTGGGTGGGCCTTCTCCCTTAATACCCCCCTTTTAAACATGAAGGTAACAATATGGAAAACATATTAGTATTATCCACTTTCCTGTAGCCCTTGAACCTTCTTACTCTAATTAACTATGTAAAGAATGTCAAAATAAAATTTATTAATAAAAAAAAAAAAAAAAAAGAATATCCTCTTCTTCCCTTTACACCATCAATGACAATTTGGTCAGAAAGAGTCTAACACTGTTAATTACTTTAAATGCACGTGAATATTTAGAATCTCTATCGATATAGATGTTTTAAGCTATGAAGAAAACAGTAAATGTCGGCCTGATTTAACGATGATTTGTATATACACACACACGTATATATATACACACACACAAACACACAACACCTCATAATACTTGCACATTAATGAAAATGTATACCTATATATGTTTATGTTTTACTATTCCCTTTAAAAAAGCTATCTTTAGGGCCTGGCACGGTAGCCTATTGGCCAACGTCCTCACTTTAAACATGCCAGGATCCCACATGGGTGCCGGTTCTAATCTTAACAGCCCCACTTCTCATCCAGCTCCCTGCTTGTGGCCTGGGAAAGCAGTCCAGGACAGCCCAAAGCCTTGGGACCCTGCACCCGCGTGGGAGACCTGAAAGAGGCTCCTAGCCCTTGACTTTGGATTGGCTCAGCTCTGGCCATTGTGCCCATCTGGAGAGTGAATTATTGGACAGAAGATCTTCCTCTCTGTCTTTCCTAATTTCTGTATATCTGACTTGCCAATAAAATAAATAAATCCTTAAAAAATAAGCTATCTTTAGGCAAAGTGGACTCATTAACAAAACAAACAGGTACACAGAATTCTACTGTGTCTTAGGGGAAAATATTTCACTTTTTGTCCATATTTTTAATACAAAGTATAAAATGATAGTTCTTTGGATAAATCATTAAGGATGATTTATGCCAGCATTCAAAAATGTTATTTAATTAAGCATACCTTACATCATGATTGATGCTAGTGGATTCAAATTGGAACCAGATACAATAACTTAAACTGATTTATGCATTTTTATGATATTAAATTTAGAATTATGGATTAATTCAGAAGAAATTATTTACTCTAGCTACCTGACTTGCTTGTGGATGAATGCTAACCATTGGATTCTAAGGGTCATTTGAAACACTGTATTTTTAAAAAAATATTTATTTTTATTTGAAAGGCAGATTTATGGAGAGAAGGAAAGGACAGAGAAGGATCCTCCCTCTGCTGATTCACTATTGAAATGGCCCCAATGGCCAGAACTGAGCAGATCTGAGCCAGGA